TAAAAGAGTAGGGCTGCACTGGTAAACCAAAGAGATTCTATCCCTGCCTTCCTAGCTTATAATCCATTAGGGTATATCAGTTAGGATTAGGTTTAACCTCATATCAAAGAAAACTCAAAATGACAGTAATTCCAAAAAAGAGAGACTTTCCTTTCCTTTCACGTCAAAGACTCCCACAGTAAGGAGATGGTCCAGGGTCTTGCAGCTTCATGATAATCAACACTCAAACACCTTTTTCTGGTGCCTCCAACGTCCTCAAGGCAATGCCTCTTGATTCAAGACATTTCTCCCCCGAGCTCAGTGATCACACCCACATTTTCGCCAACAGGAAAGAACAAAGTACGGTGAGCCTTTCCCTTTAAAAACATTTCTTGGAAGTACCACAGGATACTTTCACTTATATTTCATTAGCCAGAACGTGGTCACGTGGCCTGACAGAGCTGCAGATGAAGCTAGGAAATGCCCTTTGTTAGGTTTCTGCCACAAAGGGAAATAGACATTATTCAAATTTCCTTTTCAAATTGTGACTAATGTTAGGCCAGCTCACTGGGAAAAAAGAAAACTCATCAAACTGGTTAGTCGGTTTCTACAGATAGTATTCATTTCTTCACTTATATACTGACTCAGCAATGCCTAATTTAATGAAAAGAGATCTTATGAGGGACTGAAAAATACATTAGTCATATTATTGAAGAATACTGTCTAGAAGGTACGTACACATTAGACTAAGAAATCTACAAGTGGTGTCCCACAAAGAAAGTACAGACAAAATGCTTTAGCAGTACCGAAAAAGAAAGTTCTGGAAGATTTGTAGATGAAGTGACTTTTGAACTTGACTTGAAACTATATTTAGGGTTTAAATAATATGAATATGGTAATAGCATTAAGAAATTGAGAAGCGCACAAATATGTAGAGCATATTCCATTTCTACTTTGATCCTTGTTGGTAGAGAGATCTGAGGCCATTTAAACTCTCCTATCCTCCATAAACTTGTACAAAGCAGCCATTTCTATAGGGCTGCCTCAAGGGGGAATAATAAGGCTTGACAGATAAAAGTACAGAGCAAACCACAAATCACTGAGCAAAGTTTGGGTTTTTTTTAACTGTTTTTTAAATTTTTCTGACAGCAGATGCTCAAAAAGTGGTTACCGAATGCTGAAAGAGCAACATAGCCAAAGACATGTGCTCAAGGGAGAGAGAGAGAGAGAGAGAGAGGCAGAGAATAGCAATTAATTGGGTTTAGCTGAGCAGTAAAGGTGTGAAGGATAGTTATAGGGACTGTGGTTTATCTGGAACCTCTAATGACATGCTGAAGAGTTTGGATTTAATTTGGTAGGCAGATACCATCGGAAAGGTTTTGAGCCCGTCTCGTGAGGAGTAAATCTGCAGTACTCTTCAGGGTGGATGTGAAGAGATTCTTTTTAGTTAAGTAGCCATTGCAAGTGAAGAGGTAATGAAGGCTTGAAGTACATGAATGGGTCGGAAAATGAAGAGAAGGGCGGGTGGAAGAGTTATTTTTGAGTGGACTCCATGGAGCTCCCATGACTCTGATAGGAGAGGAAAGAATCAAAAATTACTAAAACCTTTTGAGGAGAGGTGACAGGGCAGATGAAGGTTTCATCAACAGAAACTGGACACACGGTACAAAACAGGTTTTAGAAAGGAAACTTTGGGGTGGAGGAAATGTGACTCAAGCGGAATGTTAGGAAATAACTTCGGTGTGGAAAGTCGTAGGAAGACGAGAAGTCAAAGAAGGAGTCAAGAAGACTCAAAAGAAGAGCAGTTGTTACTAAACATGCCTTCAGTGAATTATTCACAATAAGTTCAAAATATTGGAAATTAACAGGGAATAATATTTTGCGAGGTGGAGTTTTGTATTTGGCATTAAGACCGTAGTCAATCAGTATCTTTCTAGAAGGAAACCAGTAGTCAAAATGTTTGCTTACCTTCATGAGCTAACTAATTAATCTTATTTTTCAGTAATCAGATGCCATCCAGTTTAATTTTCCCCATATTATACATTAGGCAGTGATTCATACTGAACTGACTTCTATGAACGCGAGGTAAAATGGAAATACTAATTTGGAAATGGATGTTAATATCTGACATTCCTAAGCGCATCTGAGGGCTGAAGAGATGCCTGTGCTCTCCAGTTTGTGCTTTTCACCCTCCACACAAGAAAATTATTCTTTGATTCAGCGTTAAAGCTGCTGCCTGCCTGGCCTAATATCACGGTGATGTGAGAGTTTGAATTCATGATGAGTTCGTTGAGAAAGAGGTACCCGGTTGAGTACTTAATAGTCCTTACCTAATGTGATCCTTTACCCCAGTCTAGTGACGCCCACCTTGTTCCACTCATAAAACAAGGGTGAGGATACAGATTGTAGTATTCAGAGGCCCATCTACAGCATTAATTAACATGAGAAACCAAGTAGAAGGATTACAAGATGGTGGAGGAGAAAGGTGCCACAAAATGAGATTTGAAGACCCTTGGTTGTAGTCCTCAATCTGAAACTCTGTAAGTCCATTGAAAAATCATCCTCTGCAATATCACGTTAAAACCACAATCTTTCTGAAAGAGTAAGTAGCAATGGACTCCAAACAGGTAGGTTACAAACCATCATGCTCTGTAACAGGATTTATAGGAAGGAGAAATAAAGTTCTCAATTAGTCAAAAACTTTTGGAAAGAAGATTTAGTTAAGGTAGGATTTTGCTAGTAAACATTCTAAGTTTTCAAGACTAGAAAAAGGTGTCTTCCTACAAGCATGTATGTTTGATCAGCTGCCCTGAGTAGGACAGTCCCATTAGGGATTCCATGACTCTGTGCCCATAATAAGAGAGTATTCCACATGCTACAAGTCTAAGGGGGAAAACACACACAGTAAGACTTCAGAACATTTGAAAGTAGGCTTGAAAAGCCACCTAGTATGGACTGCTTCTTCCGTGGACTTTCAAAAGTTGGTCCCGATTTTTATGATAACCTCTGCCAATGGCACGATTTCAAGGATACCTGTTAAAGCTAGAAATATTTCATAAGGAAGATCAAATTGTAGAAGTCAGTGAACAACTATGAAGGGAGAAAAAAACATTTTAGTAAATGTGAGTGGAGACAACATGAATGGACTACATACAAATCATTTTGGGTGGACAACATTTGATGAGGTGTGTTTCATTACCTTTGACTATAAATCTCTCTATGGGGCATTTAACATTTCAAATCAGCTGCTGACACAGTAGGAAGTATCAAAGATGGGGATTGAGAGGTAGAGATTTTAACTCCCACTCTATGGTTTGGGAAAGTCACTTAACCTTTCTGGGCTTTATGAATTCACTTATTCATCTATGGTTATTTACATATTTTTTCAACAGACATGAAACAGACTTGTCCTGTGGCTCTCCCCCAAGGTTCCTCTTCCTTGGACTAAGTGCAGCCCTAACATGTATTATTGAATAGAAATAATTGTTACATTATAGAAAGGGGAACTACTTTTAAACTACTGAAGACAGTTTAAATTCTGTAAAAAAAAAAAAAAAAAAAGTTGATTTGCCCACGAAAGCAGCAGATACAAGACCATAGGGCTGGCCTAAGCCTTTACCACAAAGAACGAGAGTCGAGGATGACACATAGAACAAAGTCAGAGGATGAAGCAGTAGCAAGAGCTGGAAAGATCTCAAGGGTGGTATTGACTACCAAGACCTCCTGGTGGAGACAGTAAACCTAACACAGAGAACTCAAGCAGACACCTCTTCAGTCTCACCTTGAGTTTCAGATAGATCTAACTGGGTTGGTAAAATGACTAGGCAACATTGGTAGAGAATGATTTTGTTACCAAAAGAACAAAAGAAAGCCTATGACTAAGTAACTTAGTTGACCTCGACAGTAGATCTGTGTCATGGGAACATATGCTGATAGGCAATTATGAGGCATTTTGACACTGTGTGGGATTTTTTTTTTCAATGAAACAGAAAAAGATATCATTATTAATTTTATGTTTTCAGTTCTGAAATGGAATGAGCCATACACCTCTTCGTTACTCTTCTTCTTCCCATTTTTTTCTTTCTTCCCCTCTCATGCTTTATAATCCTCTACCTGCATGAACTCCCTAGCTCCCCCCCAGAGTGAAAACAATGAGCCACTTCTGTAAGCGGCCAAAATACTCATTCATTTAAGTTTGAAAATGCCAGAGAAACGTTAAGTGAAATCCACCCTACTCCTCTTATACAACACATTTGAGCTCTAGATACGTTAAGAGCTTCATCTTCCCAATGCTTTTAATTCTAATCCTTGCAGAGACAAAATTCATTGCTTGAATTACAAGAGTGAGTCTCATTAAGGCTAAAAAGCAGTGACCCAGATAGCATAACGGATTAATATGGTGACCTTGCACCTTTAGAGCTTTACTTTCAAATCTGACTGTGCAGTCAAGCCATTGCAATAGTCAATTAATCAATTGGTTAATAGCAGCCTGTAGTGTTCTGAGTCTGGAAGTTAGTAGATCATTTGAGCCAATACTATCCTATATAGAATTAAACTAAGAATCGTAGTATGCTTAAAACCTTTCTGAAGGGATCACAATAAAAGAAATTGTGTTTCACGAATAACTGCAATGCTGTAATCACTAACAACTATATAATTTTGACACTGTAATAAGTATCATTTTTGAACCCTATGTCATAAATATCTACCAGTGATATATGGTTGCATTTCATTAGTTCAGAAAGTAAATCTAATTAATCAGGTCTTGAGTAGTGAAATGTGATGTTGACTGAATTCTTCAATTCTATTCTTTGGTAACAGTGCCTTTAGGGTGATGCGTATGTTAGGGTCATTCTATGCTCAAGAGGAAATGGGGGTTGAGGTGGAAATATGTGTAGTTTAGCAGGACATTCTACAGAGTTTTGAAAGTCTAAAGATTTTTTTTTAAAGTTCCAGAAATATGTTTGTGAAAAATTCTTCTGATCTTTTTTTTTTTTTTTTTTTTTTTTTTTTTTTGGTAGATGCAAGAGATACGGAACCCAGAAGGAACCCAGTATAGTTCCCACCCTCAGATGGCAGCCATGAGACCCAGGGGCCAGCCTGCAGACATCAGACAACAGCCAGGAATGATGCCGCACGGCCAGCTGACCACCATCAACCAGTCGCAGCTAAGTGCTCAGCTTGGCCTGAACATGGGAGGAAGCAGTGTCCCCCACAACTCACCATCTCCACCTGGAAGCAAATCCGCGACTCCTTCCCCGTCAAGTTCAGTGCATGAAGATGAAGGCGATGACACCTCTAAGGTATGACGAGGCCATTTTTTAGGACCTATAGGAAATGCTTGTGGCCTGAAAGGAATATTCTTTAGCACCTTCCTTGACCAGTGGTGCATGCAAGTTTATATCATCCAAATGAGCAACATTAGTGGGGGGCGTACTTTTTTTTTTAATTTTAAAATGTTTATTTATTTGTAAGAGAGACAGAGCTTGAGCAGAGGAGGGGCAGAGAGCGAGGGAGACACAGCGCGCCCCAGGCTCCATCTGAGCTGTTAGCACAGAGCCCGATGCTGGGCTCGAACTCACAAACCGCGAGATCATGACTTGAGCCGAAGTCGGACGCTCAACCGACTGAGCCACCCAGGAACCCCGGGGACATACTTTTTTAATGAAGCATAAAGTTGCAAACTGAATAGATTAAATCACTTGTTTGTCCAATTACAGTCTTCAGTCCCTAGTAAATCATTTAAATATAGATATATTAAGCATTAAAGTAGATTTCACCCACAAAATATAAGGTCTGCATTGTGAATAGGGAGAATAAGTCTTGTAGGACTCAACATCCAAAATGAAGCTTAATTCACCATTCAACAACATCTATTTTAACAATTTTATTTTATTTTTTTAAGTTTATTCTTTTTTTTTTGAGAGAGAGCGAGAGAGACAGCATGAGCAGGGGAGGGGCAGAGAGAAAGAGGGAGACACAGAATCCGAAGCAAACTTCAGGCTCCAGCTGTCAGCACAAAGCCTGACACAGGGCTCAAACTCAGAAACCACAAGATCATGACCTGAGCCAAAGTCAGACACTTAACTGACTGAGCCACCAGGCGCCCTTAACAATTTTATTTTAAAAAGGCACCTCTCAGAGATACAGTGATTGCTGTGTGTGTGTGTGTGTGTGTGTGTGCGCGAGGCACACGCACATGCATGATGGTTAGATAAAACCTTTGAGATGATCCATCCCAACCATCTCATACTGAGATGAGAAGGTAAGGACCAGGGATATTCTATGACTCCCTTCCATTAGAAGAAGCCTGAGTGTTTCCTGGCTCACTTTCTGTTAACCCCATGCCAATATGGGGTTGTCTGTCTCTCTCTGTCACATTAAGTTATCTGTATAGGAAGCCAAGCCTTAAGTGTCCTTAGATTGGAAAATTACCTGCAGAAGGTTTTAGTTCTTTAAAATACCCCAGGCAGCTTTTTAAAATGTCTACAGCAAAGCCAAGTGCAGTCTCACTCAAAAACACCAAAATAATCTTTTCATTACCTTGGTGATCAGTCAAGCATCTTCCAAATCTGTCCCAGTGAGAAAGGGCCCTTGTGCCCATTTATCATGCAAAACACTCCCGGCTACAGGACTATTTCATATTCCCCCTTTATCCTTTAATCTTACTAATCACTTGTTACTTGTGTCGGCCCTTTGTTTTCCTTTGACTTTTACAAGAGTTTTATTTTGTGGAAATTAACCTGTCAAAAACAACCCAGTGGAGATCTGACCTATATGGGTAACTTTCCAATAGCTATATTATTTTCTTTATTTTTTTTAAGTTTACTTATTTATTTTTGAGAGAGACAGAGACTGTGCAAGTAGGGGAGAGGCAGAGAGAGAGTGAGAGAGAATCCCAAGCAGCCTCCACACTGCCAGTGCAGAGCCCAGTGTGGGGCTCAAACTCACAAAGCCATGAGATCATGACCTGAGCCCGAACCAAGAGTTGGGCACTTAACCGACTAAGCCACCCAGGTGCCCCTACTAGACTATTATTATTTAAGTTACAGATAAATGGTGACTCAGATTTCTTTAGCCTGATGACAAAGACAGGGCTGCTGCGTTGACTATGATTTATTATTCTCAGTATTCTTGATCCTCTGGCGTGTGGGGCCTTGATCCTGGAAAAACTACTCCTCCCGGGGCTCGCTAATTCCAAGAGATAGAATATGACGCCCCTGTGAGCCCACTTTTGATAAACGAAACAACCAGTCCAGAACACATTCTGCCAGTCATCCACGCCATCAAACTCATAGCAGGTCAATATATTCCCACTGACCTAAATCACCAGATCAAGTACCAGACAACTAAGAAACGCCTCTACAGCCCATAGCTCACTGACATTGTTCAAACTATCCAATCCTTATTCAGCATACCTACCCCGCCTCACCCATCCCTTCCCACAGGAACCCCCAAAAAGGCTCTGGGCCATGCCCTGCCCTCTCTCTGTGTCTGCCTCTTAAGCGCCCCTTAATGGTGTGCTGTGCCTTCCATTTCTAGGTATCTGTGAATACAAACTTCTTCCTTCATGATAGTCCTTTCCATATTTGCTGTCTTTCCACACCCAGAGCAAATCCTGGGTCCACTTGAGGACAGCTGTGTAGCTAAATATCATTGCTCATGCTGGTCCTCTCCACCTGCACAATTATCATTGTCCATAAGCCAGTTGAGGTAAGGTAAAAAGATCAGAGATTAATTAATGGATATTACATAAATTATTTATTGGGTTAGGGACACCCCGCCCTTTAACTGGTCATTTAGAGGACAAAATAATATTCTTAAGAAAACATGTGTTAGGGGCGCCTGGGTGACTCAATCGGTTAAGCGTTCGACTTCGGCTCAGGTCACGATCTCACGGTTCATGGGTTCGAGCCCCGCATTGGGCTCTGTGCTGACAGCTAGCTCAGAGCCTGGAGCCTGTTTCAGATTCTGTATCTCCCTCTCTCTCTGACCCTCCCCCATTCACGCTGTCTCTCTCTCTCAGAAATAAATAAAACATTAAAAAAAAAAGAAAGAAAACATGTGTTAGTCTAGCAGTATCTATAAGTTGATGGATATGTGATTTTGATATTGGATGATGCATGGATAATTCAAGTTAATCTCCTAAACATAAATGCTATGTACTGTATTACAAGGGGGGGAAAAATCAATGGTCTTCCTATAGTACAGATCAATTTGTACATCTGGATTATATCTTAATCAGTATTCATTGCTGACATTTCAGGAAATTAGTGCAAAATTAGCACCTTCTGACAGTAAGTGGTATGCAGGACTATTCTGACCTCCAATAGCGTTTTCCACACTCTTCAACTTCTATGAGTAGAAGACTGAGGAGAAACCAGAAATTCATAGAATTAACATTCACAGATTCTGCCATTTCCTACTGACCCATAAGGTCCATGTCTTATAATTTTGCTGAGGCAAAATTTTCCTGAGTTTGTATGTTTTACACCAGGCTGGTGTGAAAATTTACCAGTGCACATCCTACCCAGTCATTCAACATCCACATCTCAAAATAATTTACAGCTCATTATTAAGTATAAGTATTGTACAGTAGAATTTGTACTCTGTGGTGGTATATTTTTGAGTTAGCCATGTGTGAAAGCTTAGGAATGGATTTCTCGAGAATGCCCTCATTAAAACGGCTCTTTGTCTATACAAATATTGTCAAGTTCACATTTCGTTTATTTGTTTTTTTACAGTTTATTTATTTATTTTGAGAAAGAAAGAGCATATGTGCAAGTGGGGGAGAGGCAGAGAAAGAGAATCCCAGGCAGTCTCCGCACTGTCAGTGCAGACCCTGATGTGGGGCTTGAACTCATGAACCATGAGATCATGACCTGAGCTGAGGTTCGACGCTTAACCAACCGAGCCACCGAGGCGCCCCAAGTTCATATTTGGTTCAAGTGTATTTTCCATCTCAAGTAAACCTCCCTTCCCATTCCAGCTCTACACATTGCTCTTCACCTTCTCTCCAGTTCCAAATCTGTTTATTCAACTTATATTTATTAAATGCCTAAAGAAGCCTCTGACGAAACTACGCAAGCATTCTTTCTTCCCCGCAGTAAAAGATGAAACTGGGATTTTTTTTTTCCTTTATCTGTGAGCAGGATTTATGTGGAAGGCTGTACTGCAGCAGCTCCAGTTAAATGTGAAAGAGCGTCAAGTCAAAAAGATCACTTAAATCATTTCTAACAAGAGAACTAAAAAAGACTATTTATTTAGTCTCCTACCAAAAAAAAAACAGCTTTTAAAACTTCCCTCTTCACACTGGGAGCTCTCGTAAGCAATTACATATTAAATCCAGTTTATCTAACTGAAAATTAAATGAAATAAGTTTGTTGTGACAGAGAGAAATATTGTAAACACGTCAGTAAAATAAGTTATCACCTTATAAACGCTGCCCATGGTCCTGATGGCTGTGGTGCTGCGTGGACAGGGAAGTCATAAACTGGACCTAGAGTAAAACATCAAAGAAATATATACTTGGGGAGCTTGTGGTTCTAAGCCTGTAATCCAGCACTTGTAATACAACAGACACTGTGAGACACTTAAAGTATCTGCATTAGGAGTATATTTTTAGCACAGATTTCCCTTTCGGGAAATTGTGGGCTAAGACTCACAGTATATCTTTCTCTATCCTTTTACTTTCAATGTTTCTACATCAAGTATCCTTCAGTTTTATATGGGCCCCTTGTCAATAGCATAGAGTTAGATATTCTTTACTTTCTTTTTAGTTTATTTATTTATTTTGAGAGAGAGAGAGAGCTCGAGCAGGGGAGGGGCAGAGAGAGGGAGAGAGAGAATCCCAGGCAGGCTCCTCACTGTCAGCTCAGAGCCCGAGGCACACAGGGCTTGATTCCACAAACCCTGAGATCATGACCTGAGCTGAGCTCAAAAGTCAGGGGCTCAACTGACTGAGCCACTCAGGCGCCCCTACTTTTAAATAAAACTGGCTTTATTTATATCAATATAAGTACTGAAATATTTGGGTTTATTTCATTTAAGTACATTGTTTCCTTTTTCTTCCGTGTTCGTTCCCTTCTCTCTTTTTTACCTTCTTTAAGGCTGTTCTTATTTTACTCATTCCATAATTTTCCATTGTAAGATGGGAAATTTTATATTCTCTTCACTTTGTAGCTACCTCTGACACACAAATGCATAAAATTCTAACATCAATTAATATCTTGACTCTTATGTTATTTAACTCCAAACACTCTCCCTCCCTTCAGATTTATAGTGGAGCAGTTACTGCTGTTGT